GTCGCAGCCCTGCATGCCTGCCTTCTGCTCAAGCAGAGGAAATGGTTAAGTGGATTAGGGTTGTCAATATGAACAGATAAGACCAAGGCACTCATTGTTTATGAGAACAGCAAGAGGGAGTACAACAGAGTTCACAACAGCTTCAAGACTGCCATTTCCAATTATGTCCCATTATTTACCATACAGAATATACATTTGGTCACAGTTTCAGGATTTTACTTTCCTCTTTTTTACAACACTCTGCCACAAATTCCAATGTGGCAACACTAGATAAAAAGGAGATGACAATGATATTTTAGTGATACTTAACACCATGCATCATGTGATATTGAGCAAATACGTTCTGGGCTAAACGGCAGTGATAACAAAATAATTAGAATATTGAAAATACAAATATTTTATAGTTATATATAGTATAGTTTATCTGCAAGTAAATTTGTTTCTTTGCAGTATCATGGCCTTTAGCACGGCACAAAAACATGATAAGGATTTATGTGTATCAACTTATAATTGGTTCCATTGCACATACATTTTGATCTTGTCTACTAAAATTATGAAAATAGAGAATTTTCAACGGTTCCACATAAGTCATGTGCAGACACAGACGTTAAGATTAAATCTGCCCTTATAAACATTTCTTGGATCAGGCCCAAAGTGTATTTTCAAAGTTGATTTACACTAAATGAATCAAATCTAAATCCAGTTTGTTATCTTGTTGTACCAAACCTTCCAATAAGACAACAACCAAACTAAGGAAATGAGATACAGACAAAATATGTAATTCTTCTGCCTTTCCTGTGTATATTTTAATTAATTAATTAATTAATGATTATGATTAACTAATTAAACTTAGGCACAAATGTTGGACAATGTCAGCTATGAGACCCTTACCGTGTCAGGATTTTCCAGATACTCCTCGACCTCTGCATAGCTGAGGATGGTGTAGCCTTTACACACTCTCCAAAGCATCCGCTCAAAGGCCTCGATCTTCACCCTCTGAATAAGCCCCGAAATGAAACTGTAAGAGAATTAGGAGAAAATTCACAAACAGCTAAACATATGTGCCTACTAGGCAAACCAAAAAATATCACAAAAATGATATCAAAGCAAAATCACAATAACCTTCAATAGAAAAACATAATTCAAAATGTATCTTAAACATTGTTTGAGTTGCTTTCATAATTTCCAAATTCAAAAAGATGTCCATCTTTGTGCAGCTACATCACAAAAGAAAAAACTTTCATGTGATGTTGATGTATGTAAGATAAAATTATTGTTATCCCCACCCCCCTGTTTGACATTATGAGCTCACACTAACACCTTCTACATTGATTTTTGAACTCCTGTGTGTAAACATCTTCACAGACACATGTGCATGTGAGCAATCTTAACATCACAGTGAGCATTGCTGCAGATGGGAAACTTCCTATGTTGCAGAGTAGCTGCAAAGTGACTTCAGAGATATGCAACTGTGAGGTTAGCTGGGTTTCCTTTTAGAATTTACTGTCGCTGCACAATCACAAATAAACAGTTTTCCCACAGCACTGACGTAACTTTTTAAAAGAGCAACACGTTGGTGAAAACACAGTGCTGCATCCCAGTTATGGCAGCTTGTTAATTTCTTGTCTGTTTGTGTGTGAACTGTGTAGAAAGTACATCTGTAAAAAGAGAAGACTGACATCTCTGATCTTCATCTCTTACCCCAGTTTGGCTCCTAGCCTCTGCATACTGCTGTAGTCCATCACTGTGTCTTTTTCTAGGAAGGGAAACTCCTCATACTGTACCTGTAGGGGTTCTCGCTAAAAGTAAAGATTCAAGAGGGTAAAGAAGAGAAAAATCTATACATGTATAAACAGGATGTAAATGTGGGTGCACAGAATCCAGCTACTTTACAGAATGACAGACTAACCTCACTATTTCTTTGTACAAAGTTGCGGGTGATGCGCAGCATGTGTGTGTACTCTGTCAACTCCAGCAGATTCCTCTGCAGCTTCTCTTTATTCTTGGTTACTTCACCCAACTCCACTTCAAGCCTCTGCAGCTGCTCCTGTAAACACACACACAGACACCCAGTCATATATATATATATATAATAATTTATATGGTTTGAAAAAACATTATGGTTGTAATCCACCAATTTTACACAGTAGAACAAAGTAGGGCTGAGTGTTTTATGTAGATAGAATACCCCTCTATATTAATTTAGTTGAAGTGACATTAACTTAGACGCTGATTTAAAAACTAAAATCTAACCATTATAGCCATGACGTGCTTGGGTAAAGGAGCCACTGGGTTCACGTCTCCTTCTGGCAGTGAAATGTCAGCTTTCTTGACTTCCCTCAGAAGGTATCCTGTTGAAAATAAAGAGCAATTGGTTCTAAGACACAAAAAACGTCCACATTAAATGACCAGCCTTTCAATGGCACTGGATTCGAAGCAAAGTCTGACAGTGTGTTATTCTCTTCTCTTAATCTAATAATAAAAGGGTTTAGTTAACCAAGGAAGGCATTTCATTCAACTAAATCTACAACCAGCTGATATTTCTCATGACTGTAGGGTCACTGGCTCTCAATTCAATTCAGTGAGTAGGCCTATTGTGGCTTCATGTATTCCCACTTTGCTTCTACGGTCCCACCACAGCGTTGTCGCAAATTATTCTGTGACAGACTGACAACAACTCACTGAATAGATAAGGAGCCTTACTGGTGAGCTGCATATTAAAAAGGTCAACACATCCTTACCAAGGATCCTCTCCATCTCTTCACATTTTTTGATCTCATTGACGTGTTTTCGCTGGAACGCATTAACACTGGGATTGAGCTGAAACAGGTGAAAGAGACATATTTAGTAGAGAATTGAAGGATTAACAATCCTCATGTGTGGGACATACCACTATCTTCAGGACAAACCATCATAAACCTCACAGTAAGTACCTGCAGGGGCCACTTTACAGCACTATTATACAACAGCTATGATCTGTGGGATATTGAGGACTTCATTTTACAAGAACAATGGCCACGTCTGCTTTGCTATAAAATAAAAGTCAGTGACAAATCTAATAGAAAGTATGTAGCTACATTAAATAAACAGCCCTTTCCTCGAGTGCTTCCAATGTTACCAAACTCAGCAATAACTTTTAAACTGAGTGAGACACTGCTGTGTATTTCAGGACATTAAAACTCACGTCTCTGAACTCCACAAGTCCCAGTTCTCCAAGTTCACTGATGCAGTCGTATGCTGATCCAGACTGTAGAAACAGCTGGGCCAGACACATCTCTTCACCTCGCAGCAGAGAGCTCATTCTGACAGTTCAGCTCTGATACACTGCCTGCTCAGACGACGTGCTAATGTTGGCGAGCTAACTAACTATTTCTGTAAATTATTGCACTTCAACGGCGGTCGGTTAAGTCCTTCTCGGTGCTTCTCATGGTTTGGCTCCGGTGATAAAAACAAAAAACAAACAAACAATTTAACTAGATAGCTGTCGTTACATCAGAGGCTGTTCCTGTTAGCTAAAGAGCTAGTCGGTGAGCGCCGTGTTGTCAATTCTTAAGATGGAAAACTTGTTTTTTTTTTATCAAAGTTGAACCCGGAACTGTGAGGCGGTCGGTATCAAAACAGTTAATGTAGCGTATCCAAAGAGGTGGTCCCAACTCTTCCCCGTAGTTCATGAAGTTTTAGCAGATGTCCGCTTGCCATGTCGATGAGTACTACACGTCACTTCACATTGTTGAATGCGATCAACTTCCACGGCAGTGAATGTACCTTTGACCAATGAACGCCGCCTCCCGGAGTCTGCGCACAACGGTCTACGATGGTGGGGGGGCCTTCTGTGCCCTCATCGCTGTCTGAAGGCGAACGGTCACACATGCGTGCAAGCATCCACTTTTTTATACTTTGTTTGTTTAATAATCTGGTTTGGGGAGTAAGGGATTACATGTAACTGAGTTATCAGGAAAAGGTAAATGTAATCCATTAAAGTTAAAGGAAAAAACATGTAATCAGATTACAGTTCCATTTAGTGAAAATGGGGGTTATTAGCAGGATTACAATTTTAAAAGCAGAAGACACATTTTTGATGTTGAAAATCCATTTCTAAGATTATATTGTATGGCTGTCTTATAGTATCAATGCTTCTTATTGATATTTATTTTTTCTTGCCTTTCTCTTGTCATATTTTGAGGTGAGGTCATCCAAAAGTAACATAAAGTAATACAATTACATTACTTTAATAATTTGATTCTTGGATTAGGTTACCTACTACATTTTTTAAAAGGTAATTAGTAATTGTTTAAGATTACGTTTTTGAAGTAACCCTTCCAACCCTGTTGACAATCAGACATAAGTAGGCTGTCAGAGCTTCGTAACCCTGCCAGTCTGTACAGGCTGTATTGCTAGAACCTCTTCATGACACAGCAGAAATATCTGAAATAGGTGCGATCATCTTCTCTGGAGGTAGTATTAGTTGTCACACAGTGTTTATTCTGTAAATATCCTTGTTACTCTGCACAGCCAGACTAACCTGTCAGGCTATGCCAAGACCCAGGGCAAACATTTCAGGTGCCTGGGGGATTATAAAAAACTGTTTTATTTTTTGGATAGGAGACACTAAGAGAAAGACGCAAATGAGTGGAAACAAGGAGACACAACAAATTAAACACATCTTGGTTCCTCTGTCTTTAGGAACAACAGCTAGAACGAGTCGAGAAGAATATGTTACAGTGATAAGTTTTAAGGAGCAGCAGCTATGTTACATTTAGTGATGTATGCATAACACTGAAACTATATTGTGCTTGAGGATGATAAGCCCTTGTGGGAACATCTAAACCCCAAATAAACAATTACCCAGAATCCAGCCCTGCAGCACTCCATAAGAAACAAATTGATAGGTAGGACTGAGATCAGATTAGAGGATTACACAAGCAGTCTACCAACTTTTTAAACCTATCAATGAGAATGTTGATTAAAAGTAGGTTGAGTGTTAGAGCCTAAAACAAATGTCATAGAAAAAATATTTTTATTGCAAAATGGTGCACCAATACAACTATTTACATTCTCACACACATATTACAAACATGTTAAAGCTATATTATAAACAATATATTTGTTTAACTTCTTCCTCTCCCTTTATCCATCGATCTCTTTGTCTGCCTCGACATTGTTCTCAGACTTTTCTCAGGGTTTTAGAGACTTTTTAGTTCCATGCCTGTCGGATTTGTCTCCATGGAGTCCCAAGAATCGAGGCAGTGATGAAGAAGAAAACCAAGATAAGGCCTTTAGCCAGTGACTGAGAGTATGGCTCACCTAGGGAGGATAAAGGTAAAATAAGTCAGTAATTGTACAATACTGTCAATATCCATTGTCTTACTTAAGCAGTGTTTCTTGCAAAAATGTTTCACAGTTGTGGGATATAGGAGTGTTTTTTTTTTTTGTTATTTAAGGGATTATTGGTTGATGTAATGTAGGGATGGTGCAGCATCATTCTTATTTAACAAAGTCCTAAGGCCGTCAGCTTTGATGATGGAATGATGAATATAATGATCTTAAATACTAAGTAAGTGAGTAATCATTTTTTTCTAAGCATGAAAACAATTTCGTATTTTTCAAATACAATACAATTTCAAATACTGGACAGATTTTCCAGGACTAGATAAATCCCCACCTGTGTAATACTTGGTGATGGGGAAGGCGAGCTCAGGCCAACACACATCATTCCTGTCACAATCATACTCTGTGAAGTTGATCTGAAACCTGCAGGGAGAAAAAGTCAAAACAAGACATTAGACTAGGTTAGAATCAGTCAGGCAGGTCACACATAAAGTAATTTATTTGGCTCAAGTTCACAACTCTATACTAAGAGCAGTCTTGCTGTTTGAGGAAGCACCTGGTCTTTGGTAGTCCTGTGTTGATAGGAATGTCCGTAAAGGTGACCGAGGAGGTGATGGGAAACAACTGAGTCTCCAATGGGTCCACACAGCGAGAGATATCACCTCCTCCACAATCCAGTGCCCAGGAGGACAGGCTGTAGCTACAAATGACCAAAATAAGATTCTTGATTCATTCTTGAGACTTTTAATACTACAGCAAATTAGGACATGTGGTAACTTTTTAACAGTTCCCCTGAACTGAGAATACAATTTACACTGTAATGAGTATACAACTGATACACACCTGACTTGCAAAGCACGGATATCCCTTTGAGGTATGCCATCTACCATGCCAGTGATAAGACTCCAAACATGGATATGCTGATGGGATTGAATCCCATAGCATGAACTTGTGGTGTCTTCCATAGCGGTGCTTGAGTTCTGTGTCACAACTGGAATATATATATATGCTGTGTAACATTTTGTTAGAAAAAGATTTAGCACAATATTGTACAACTTGGTTTACAAGTTACAAGTATAGCAAGAAATTAAGTTAATATTATGAACAAATGGATGATCTCTTTACACAAAACATACTACAAACTTACAGCTGATGTTCACCCAGTCTGTCATAGTTAGAGGATCTGGGTTTCCACTCTTTGCCACATATGTAGCTGTAATCAAAGCTGCCTGGAGAGAAGCAACAGTCTCTCTAAAGGACAGAAAACATAAGATTTTATTTCAGCACAAATACATATAGACGTTAGATCAAACAGGAACTCATGCTGAACTACTAACCTCAGGAGATTACACTGAGTCATATTCTGTTGGCTGACCGGTAGCAGACATCCTGATGTTGAATTCTCCCCAAACAGAATTTGTGTCTTCTCAGCAGTGGAACAGAGTCCATTACTCACTGTAAGCCAAATCAGAACATCTCTTTCAGTCAACTTGTTATGATTGAAAAATACGTAATTTACTATTACACTAAATTCAGTAAGCCAGTAAACAACAACATGTCTTAACAGGTTTTACCTGGTTTCCAAAAATTGATTGACGTCCTCTGTATTGTTCCTGTGTTATTGCCCAAAGTGTCCACAATTCCACCAATAACTGGCCTTCCCACCTGATAACCTGTTATTTGAAATGTTTGTGTGTTAACCACTGTAACAGGTACTGTGAACTGTTTTTTACATAACAGTTCACTTCCACAATCATTCTTAGGAAAAAGCAATGCTCTCACCTGGGTTCCCTGAGTTGGGCTCACTCACGAATTCTCCATTTAGAAACTCGACTGAATACCTTGTAGTTAACGCCACTGGTCAGGAGACAAAATAGCAAAAATTATGATCAAACATATCGATTAACTTTGACTGACTGGTGATAAGTCAAATCACAGACAGGCCTTTTGGGAACATACCACTACTATTGAAGGCGATGGTCCCAACAGTTTGTGTCAGTGTGATACTTGTGATGCCATTTCCTTTCCAGTAGAATTTGTAATCCAGTGCTAAGGTCACATTCCCACATACCAGCTGCTCATCTTCAAAGAAATATTAACAAATTTCAACATTAATTGTCAGTTTAAGTTGTTTTTTTAACGATATGTTGTAATCTCCATACCTGAAGAGGCAACAGCATCTGTGCTTGAAATAAACTGACCGAGGTCAGTGGCCACTTCATCAATCACATCCACTGTAACATCCCCTGGAATACACACAAAAAAATAAACAAAAAATTAAAGACACATCGAATCTAAAAGCTCCAGAATGTATTAAAGCATTGTGACAGTATGTTTAGCAGGTAAAACATACCCCCTTGCCCATTCTTCACTTTAATCCTCAAATCTGTTGGTAGTGTCTGTAGGGGGGGTCCAGTTGGACAAGAGTGTAGCAGAGTTACACACTTGACGTTGAAATTGTTCAAAAATGCTACAGGGGCACTGTTTACACACCGCCCGAGCACCTTCTGTGAAAAAGATATATACAAGGCATCAGTTGTTACTTCATTGGCAACACATACAGTGCAAAAACATAATCTAAAAAACATACACACCACTAACCTGGGGAATAGTGAAGTACTGGTCTTTTGATGTGAAAATGGGACTTCCTTGAACATAAACATTAACTGGCACTGGAGCTGACATATCGGGCCTTTGGAAGGATGGGCCAGGCTTAGATGCACTAGACGAGTTAAAGGGGAAAAGATATATGATGAAAACATGATACAAAAAATCTATAAATGAATCACACAATCAAAAAAAATGAAACATACAGTATATTCAATCATTTCTCACATTGTGTCTCCCTGATAAAAGAGCCCAAGGTAAGGGTTGTTTTCAGCTGGAGAATTGACACATAAAAATGGAAACCAATCTGGGGAGTTTTCAGAGGACTGCACAGAGCACTGATAATCTGGTGCTGGAGAGACCTGTCCACCAAAAGGCCCCGGGAGACAGTGGGACACAAACAGCTTCAACTCTTCAACAGAACAGTCCTGTTAAGGGTGAAAGGGTGTGAAATAAGTCATTGTTCATTAATACATAAGGAAATACGTTATCTTTTCAAAACAATGTAATAATATAATGTGAGAGATGTAAATACCTTGTCACAGCAGCAGCGTACATCACATGCTCTAAAAGTGAGGTCACAGGGACAAGAGCCCAGTGTTTGGTACACTTGGTTTGGAATGACTGTCTTATTATCTAAAAAATGAAAAGGGGATTTATATGAATTACATATGTGTCACATCCTGTGTCACATGAAGGCACATTATGATGAGATACAAATTTAATCACCAGATCCAGCATTAGCAGGCACCAAGAGGGCATGTATCTTGGCCTGGATCAGCATTGATGCCTGAGGTGTGTTGCCCACACAGGCAGACACCTGGAGGGTCTCCAGGACACACAGTGGCTTCGAACAGCAATCTGTGTCTGTCTCATTCTCGCCACACAAACGCAGATTTTTATCCAGTCTCAGATGAACTCGAACTGCAGTCTGGGGCACCAAATGGAAAAAAACAACAATTTCTTTCTACTTGAACATTATTTCAAAATAAATATGATGGAAATTACTGTTCACTGCAAGACTTCTTACCTTTCCCACCTGCTCCCTTGTGAGCACCCACTGTGTTACCTCAGCTACACAGGATGGAGAACCAATGCTTCCTGTTAAAAAACAACAACAAATATATACAAATTACAGCTTACACAATCACAAAAGAGCCACATCGTTGCCTTTCTCCTCTCTTCTTATAGCCCACTAAGCAGGATAATGGTATATTCTCATTTTCTGGCAGATACTAGCGCAAGAAACATGGCTGAAAACAAAGCTTAACTGGTAAAATAACACGGCAATCTGCTTGTGTCGTATAAGGGGAATGAAGAGGAGGTCTTTCTAGCTTTTACCTGTTTTATTGTTAGGAGATACCGTCCTCAGATTCAGAGAGATGTCCGACGTGTTTCCGAGCAAAAGCGCAGTGACCGTCGGTCCAGTCGTGGTCAGATACGACGGCTGGAAAACTGATCAACATAATAGTAACAGTTCTGTATTAGCTTCATACAATCATCCAGCAAGTCATTCAACTGAGTTATCACGGCTGTCTTCTAACTAGCTCTTAGCTTGCTAATTTCTTCAGCTAAGGTTTTGCTTGGTTAAGCTATTTTAATGTAAAACCGGTTATATATTAAAGTCTTACCGACAATGTTTTGAGTGTGAGCCCACGAAATGAACAGTAAAACACAGAAAACGCGTGAATTAAACGAGGGAAATAATATATCAACCACGTTAGCCATTTGGTTCACTTCAGATTATTAAGTCGACATATTTGTAAACTGTTCGTGATGTCTTGGCAACGGAGATCTTTAAACCAATCAGAGCCTGGAAAAGTTCTTGTTCTGGAGAAACCTGAAGGGGTAAAGGTTACAACAGCGACCTCATCTGGCGTGGAGTGGTAGGCACATATACAGACATTGGTTAGGAGCATTGAGAGTCTTTATATAAGGTTAGAAGAAAAGTTTTACTTAAAATATTAGAAGAAAGTAGCACAAAAAATACTACCGACACGGATTATTCTTATGTCATGTTAATATTACATGTGTGTGTCAATTTAAGAAGGTGGGGGACGTCTATAACAGCAGACATACTTTATTTTTAATTAATATATTTTGGGGGCTTTTTGCCTTTATTGGACAGGACCGCTGAAGATGGAGAGAGAGAGGGTGTAGTAAGGCCTTGGTACATGGGGTGCCAGCTCTACCAGGTGGGCTATAGAGCGCCTCTGTATGGCATACTTAATATAGATTAAAACAGTATACATATACACACATAGCTAAACTACATGCTTTATTTTAGGCTTCTGCATGTAAAGCAAAGGCTAAAAATAGGTTGCTGGATAGTGTGATGGAAAAAAAGAAGAAGATAATGACTTACACAGCAGCGTTTACTGAGGCTCAGCCAAGGGGAACAAGATCAGCAAAACAAGTGAAGCACACTGCAGTGCCAATCCGATTGTGAAGGTTATCTCCTGTCAAGGGATATTTAACACAAACCTAGACCCACGAGATCTACCAATGTCCCAAATATGGTCCTAACCTATCCTGCTACATATGTGTGAAGCTCCAATTGGATAGTGGTTCAAAACAAATCACCTACGCTATCTTAAGTCACATTGAATGACACCCAGAGTCACACACAACACATAAAGGAGACAGTCAGTCTGTCTGTTAGATTGTTCTCAACCTTGGTCTTCCATAACAAAGTACATCTACGATATGTTGGGTGCTCAAGGTTCAACCTTATCAGCTGCCAGTCAGAGAGGAGGACAAATTCACAAATAAGAGACATGGGCTGTCTCCTTTAGGTTTGTAGACAACTAATGGTAAGGGGAGCACTATACCATTTCAGCCTAATGGAAATTCATTCACAGATAGTATTCCCTAAGAATGTGAGTTTCTTGATGTATTAATGACATGATTGAATGATAAAATGATTTATTATTTCTATAAAAATGCTTCATTAAAATATGCTGTACTTCTCTGATATCTGCATCTTTTTGGGTGTCTGACAGCCCGCCAATAAAGTACATTTTAATAAGGAAACCAAAGCTGAAACCTGCCTCTAGGTGGCAGCATGGCGCTGTTACTATCACCGTGACTACAGCTCTGAGAAATAGTAGAATAAGAGTTGCATCACGTGACCACCGTACGGCGTGCTGCCTGTCTGACAACATCCAAAGTCTGTACGGTGGAGTTAATAAAACAATGTTGTCTTTTGAAGACCTGATTACAAGTCTGCAAGACTGTGTGATCACCCAGCATCAAGCAGCTGAAAGTGTCAGCCAAACTCTCGGGCTCTTTATTGATAAACTGTCTGAATCCTCCAGGTTGGTGCCTATAACCTCATGCTTACCACTGTATGACACTTTTTTTTTTAAATTAGGTGTGATATTGACTGAGTAATGTATGCTTGTATGAGCAGGAGTAGTGTGAAAAGATGCAAGGAGCGCTGTTTAGAGGAGGCTCTCCAGCTGCTGAGGCAGATTTCGGAGGCACAGCTTCATGCTACGGAGGAGAGCCTCCTCCTGCTCCTTGTCAGACTCCTCATCTCCATGCAGCTGCAGATGGTCAGCATCTCCACAGCCTGTCGGAAAGTGGACCAGGTCAGCCCTGTAGCATGTCTGCTCACTGTACAGCCCCTAATACGAAATGGAAATGAGATTTAAACTTCGTATTTGCTTGACAGATGTTGCAATATTTGGCAAAGGTGGACCACCAGTTGGTTTTTAGAGAAACTCATCACTGCTTGCACTCCATAGTCCATACTGAAGAGGTACAGAGCTCTCCCTTCACTTGTGTTTGTCATATGTTTGCATAAAGGCACTGCAGATAACTTTTACCTTAATACCTTTCAGATATTGTCTTTTGAGGATGTGCAGAGAGGTCAGTGCTGGTTAAAAAGTATGTGTTATTATAACATGTCACTAATTTCATATGTACGTTTTTATCAGCTTATTAGGTTGTGTTTTTTAAACCTTTTTTAGCCTGTATGTTCCTGGAAGACAGCGCTGTGGGTCGTGAGGTGTGGCGAGAGTCATTCCGTTCCTTGCTGAATAAAGTGTCTGAGTTATTCCCTGTTGTACTGCAACAAGAATCCCTCAGAGATGGACCACTGTGTTACATTGCTGTCAAGGTACACGAAGAGCAGCGTGCTTCATGAATCATTTATTTGCATTTATCACAGACTTGTTGTGTGTTCTTTGACGGACGTGAGAACTGTGATCTCTGCAGGTGTGTTTGCAAGTCTTTCAGCTGTTGTCCAGTGAAGTGGCTCCTCTAGTGTGGGACAAGAACCACGGGGGCCCAACAGTGCAGACGATCCTGCAGGCTCTTATGGACATAATACTCGGAAAGGTTTCTTATTAATTCCTCCGTTCAGAGTCACTTATTCATATCTGTTCAGTTGCTTTTGTCTCATCTTATCAGTCCGTGTGTCCTGTCTTGCAGTGCTGCAACAGGGACACTCGGCTTTTGGCAGGCACCGCTGTGGCCATGCTGATCAACACAGCACCAGAAAGCAGAGCTGCAGAAGCTGCTGCCTGGAGTCTGCTACAGGTCTCTCACTTAGGTAGGTAACCACCAACACTGCTGGGCAAAAAGCATGAGAAAATCATATTTTGGAATTTGACCCAGGTATGTGGCCATGTGGGTAAATAAATTGATTGTTGTTCTCTGTTCTTTCCAGAAAGAATAAGTGCTATGTATACTACAAATTCTCCAACTGAGTGTGGATGCGTAGAGATTCCTAACAGAGTAGCCACTATTTCTTTTTATTTCTCAGAGCCCTGGCTGCTGACTGTTGGTGCTCTCCAGGTACAGTGCAACCCTACAGGGAAGGACGGAGTGGACAGGCTGGCTGTGAGCAGGGGCCTCCTGACCTGCTGTCGACCTCACATCTTGCTCAGTTCACACATGGATGCCACAGAAGTAAATCCAGTTACAGCTCATATTAAAAACACATTTATACCTCTGTTGTACTAGCTGTCATGTCCAAATCCATCGTTTCCTTCTTTTCAGATGTGCTTACTGCTGAAAGGTTTGTTTCCTCTGGTCTATGCTTTGTGTGAAGAGAAGATGGATTGTCACTACTTTGCTTTTGAAGGTAAGTAATGTGAGGGTTGTTTTTTCACATGCTTAAATAGCAATATCACCTGTTCAAATATAACATGTTGTTGCAGTATTTACACTGTGGCTGAAGAAAGTTAAAGAATGTCTGACTGATATCTGGAAGATGACAGGCGTCCGCCTACTGCCTGACAACAGTCACCTGCAGCAAGAGCTCATTCACGTTATCTGGACCAATGCAGAAAGCCCAGTGAGTCAAATTAACATCATTATATTATTGCAATTCAAAACATGAACATTTAAACAAAAGGGCATCATTAAGAAGTATATTCATTACTACCTACAGTAACAGTATTCAGAAACAAGTCATATAGTGGACCTCATGTTGGCCTTTCAAATTATATTTTAAGACATATTACTGCCAGGATGGTTTAATATGTCTTCCTGTGCTTTGGCAGGTGGAAGGTGTGTCTGACTTTGTGCGCAGTGCCTTTTCTCTGCTGCTGGACATCTATGAGATGGACTGTGAGCAGTTTTGTGACACCAAGAAGACTCTTTATTTTACTCTACTTGAGCGATTAATCAAACTACCTTGGGAAGCCAAAGCCAAATATTACCGCCTTTGTGCCCTACTGCCATACCTGGGTACTGACATGGTGAGGATTAAGGGTTAATACAGTGTTAATAATGTTTTTAATAAGGATCAAGGTCATTTTTTGATCATTATACAACACAAGGTTGTACAATGAAGTTTGTACTCCCTCCATGCTACACACATAGAACATAACATAATATGAAACAATATATACAGTTATTTATTTACATTTTTAAATTTGTTGTCTAGGGAAATAACAGAAACAAGATAGTGATGATAATAGGGTTACATCTTGACATAAAGTCCAATATTTGAGAAACAGTGTCCATCCATCATCAATGTAAACAGAGTCCACCTCCTCTCATCTTTCCAGAGACTCAGGGACTGATGACTTTGGTGCATGTTTCTTTAATCAATCAGGTGCTGGATCAATATGCTGAAATACCCAATCATCTCCTGAAGTGCTTGTCAACCAATCACCTGTCACCATGTGGATCGGAGCTTTACAAGTGTCTGATCCAACAGCAGAGGCGAGAGCTGTGCAAGGCCTCACAAAAGTCGTCTGAGCTGGATCTGGCCAACCAGTGGGCGAGGCGTTGGCGGGCCGTCCTTCACGACGCGCTGACGTCTGATGTGACTCTTCTACAGAATCACTGCTCAACACACTTATTACCCTGCACCTTTCAAGTCTTCCCCTCTGCTGTGGATCATATGCTGGCCTCTCTGGACCCATCTAACCCTGGCCATCTCCTCGCCTGGGCCTGCATCATGAGCTCCTATCGAGCCGTTACTGGAGGCTCTCCCTGGGCTCTGAAGGGGAGCTCAACCCTTGAAACCCTTCAGCTGGCTCTAGGATCTGCGGATGACAAAGTCCGTCTTGCTGCTCTCAACCTCCTCTGCTGCAGCCCAAAGACCAAAGACACTCCAACCACAGAGGAGATGGCAATAATGAGGATATTTATTCCTCAGAACCTAAACTGCGAGTCCTCGCCTTTTCGTCAGCATCTTCAAGCCGGAGTGAAGAAGTTTCTGGTTCGCATCAGAGACGGCTGCTTGGCGCTTGTCAGAGGACAGAAGGGCAAAAAGAAAGGAGACTCAGAGAGGGCACAGGATATACTGGAGCAGGGAGTAGGTGAG